GGGCGGTCCCACTGGGGCCTTCGGTGGAGCTCTCTGTGGCGCCGCGAAACGCTGTACTGGGTGGGGGGGGGGACGCATGCGGGCGGTGCCACTAGGGCCTTCGGTGGAGCCCCCTGTGGGGCCACGAAACCTCGTGCAGGCCGCCGACAGGTCTGCGCCGACGATGAGCGTCAAGGACGCCGCCAAGATGATGAACAGTGCCAACCCGAAGAACACCGGTGGCATGCACGGGCTGCTCCCGGTGCACGTGGGCATGCGGATCCGGCTCCTGGAAGCGCTCGACCTCAAGAACGGCCTCGTCAAGGATGCCGAGGGGCAGATCGTGCACATCGTCGTGGACCCTCGAGATCGGGACGACGTCGAGAGAGCCGAGAGAGAGGGGGAGAAGAGGATCTACCTGAAGCGCTTGCCGCTGGGGTTCTGGGTGCGCATGGAGAAGTACGCGAGCGCGCCCTTCGTGGACGACCTGCAGCGCCACGACGACAGCCTCACGGGGGACCTCGCGGGCCCGCTGGTGTTCATCGAGCCCCGCACGTCGGAGCCGTTCACCTTCCGCACCTCCAAGGTCACGCGGACGGGCTTCCCGTTCTCGCACGGCAGGGTCATCACCACGGTGGCGTGCCAGGGGCGCACCATGCGAGAAGGCGACGGGGCGGGGGAATGGCGCTCTGGGAACGGCCAGACCTCCGGGGCGCGAGCAGTCCGCGGCCAGACCTCGGTCCCGCGGACTCTCGCCCTGGGCCGTCAGCTGCCCGGCGCACTGCTCCCTCGGCCGACGTCGCCCAGGCGTGATTCTGGACTGCGGCCGCCACGAGGTCGGGAACGGCAAGAAGGAGGACGACGACTGGTGGCTGGAGCTCTATGTGCTGCTCTCGCGCGCCACGCGCCACGAGGACCTCCTGCTCATGCGGGCGCCGCGCATCGAGTTCTTCCTGGCAGGGCCGCCGGAGGGCTTGCGGAAGCAGCTGGAGCAGTTTGCGGCGCGCACGAAGCGTTGCAGGAGGGAGGCGACGGCCCTCGCCGGGGAGCTCGGCTTCACCGAGTTTATCCGCGAGGCCTGACCTGAGGAGCGTCCCCCCCGAGCCGCGCCTTCTCTCGACTGCCCGACTCTTTGTTTGGCCTCGCGCCGCGGACGACCCGCGCGCGTCGCTGGGACCCTCTCGGGGCGACCTGCGCGCGTCGCGGGAACTCCGTGCTGCGGGGCGCCCGGCGCCTCGTTCGCCCGTCGTCGCTCTGCCCAGCAGTCAGAGCCTTGCCCGCTATCAGCCAGCCAGTTAGCTAGCCAGCTCTCTGCCCCGAGCAGCGGACGACCCGCGCGCGTCGCTGGGACCCCGCCTGGGGCGACCGGCGCGCGTCGCGGGGACTCCGCGCTGCGCTGCGCCCGCGGCCTTTGATTTTTGGAGTGCGCGGGCATAGAGGGAGGAAAAGGAGGGACGAAAGCGGGCGCGATCCTCGCAAGGGGCGTGCCGACATGGGCGTCGCGGCGTGCGGGCGCTGCCGTCGGGGTTCCCGCGGAAGCTGCCTGCGGCGGCCACGCCCAGAGTCACGAGCGTTCGGACAGGCATGCCCGAACCATTCACATTCATATACATTTACATTGGGCGTGGCCATGATGGCATCCACGCAAATCTACTCACTCCCACGCAGACTCATTCACATTCAGACTCACTCACGGTCTGACTCGCCCGCGTTCAGTCTCTCGTAATTCGACCTGTCGTATTCCTTTGCATTGTGTACCCCGCCACAGTTCGGCACACCCCTCATACGGTTCGTGGCCTCATAGGGAGCGCCACCGAAGAAAATATTCACAATTGCGGTACTCACAACTGCATATGGTTGGGTCCTTCGCCAGGATAATTTCGAGCCTGCAGTAGCCTCCCTGGGCCGCTCTGGGAACTCTGGTACCTGTTAGGGCTGGAGTAGAAATTGTTTATTGTAAGGAATCTGGCTGTGGCGCCAGCAATTCGCCAGCATTCTCAAATAATTGTTGTGATCCGTAATACAGTGACTACTGTTATCACTTCTTCTTAGTAGTAGTAGTAGTAGTAGTAGTAGTAGTAGTAGTAATCGTAGTCGTAATCGTAGTAGTCGTAGTCGTAGTAGTCGTAGTAGGCGTAGTAGTAGTAGTAGTAGTAGCAGCAGTAGTAGTAGTAGTAATAGTAGTAGTAGTAGTAGTAGTAGTTGTAGTAGTAGTAGTAGTAGTAGTAGTAGTAGTAGTAGTAGTAGTAGTAGGAGTAGTAGTAGTAGTAGTCGTAGTCGGAATCGTAGTCGTAGTCGTAGTCGTAGTCGTAGTAGTAGTAGCAGTAGAGTAGTAGTAGTATTAGTAGTAGTTCAGTAGTAGTAGTAGTAGTAGTAGTAGTAGTAGTAGTAGTAGTAGTAGTAGTAGTAGTATTAGTAGTAGTAGTAGTAGTAGTAGTATTAGTAGTAGTAGTAGTAGTAGTAGTAGTAGTAGTAGTTGTAGTAGTAGTAGTAGTAGTAGTAGTAGCAGCAGTAGCAGTAGCCGCAGCAGTAGCAGTAGCAGCAGTAGTAGCTGTATTGGCAGTTTCAGTAGCAGCGGTAATAGTAGTAGTGGTAGTAGTAGTAACAGTAGTAGTAGTAGTAGTAGTAGTAGTAGTAGTAGTAGTAGTAGTAGTAGTAGTAGTAGTAGTAGTAGTAGTAAGTAGTAGTAGTAGTAGTAGTAGTAGTAGTAGTAGTAGTAGTAGTAGTAGTAGTAGTAGTAGTAGTAGTAGTAGTAGTAGTAGTAGTAGTAGTAGTAGTAGTAGTAGTA